TTGAATGGATTTGTATTTGTTTGATTGAATAGATTTGTGTTTGTTTGAGTGAATGGACTTGTACTAAACATCAATTCTCTTGTTCTACTTTTCACAGTTCTTTTTGCTTTTCTCATCACCACTCTTTTCTCTATGTCATTATTGTTATATTTAACACTTTCAAATTAGTTGAGATTTTTCTTTTAGATTAAAAACAGTAGGTATTTGTGTCTAACGGATGACTGATAAGTTGAGTAAGATTGCTGAGTTAAAAGCAAGACTAGCAAAGAGAAAAGAGCTTGCAGAAAGCGTAAAGATGACACAGGAAGAAAAGAAGGGAAAGGGAGATAATGTGTCTAAGGAAAGGATTGATAAGTTTCTTGGAAATACGCCTAAAGTTGTTCCACTAAAGAAAAAGATGAGAGGGTTGAAATTTGAACAAGAAATCATAGAGAAAAGGGAAGAAGAAAGAAAGAGTGAACGAATGCACTATCAACTCATTCAGAAAGGAATTTTAAAAGGGAATGAAAAGATAGAAAAAGAAGGGATTAGTCAAGAAACAGGTCAAATAGAATGGTGGGACAAAATTTATTTTAATTCAGATGAAATAACAGACTACCCTCATCTTGACATGAAAGAAATTGAATCTATTTTGAATGGCAATGATGGAATTGTAAAAGTGAGTATCATAGACAATAAAATTGAACATCCAGCTAAGCAAGAAACAATTGACACAGGAGATATTCAAATTAAAACAATCTTAACTCCAAAAGAACAAAAACGACTAAGGAAATTACAAAGAAAAGAACGATTTGAAGAAGAAAGAGAAAAAATTATGATGGGAGTAATTGCAGCACCAAAAGTCAAATTAAAAATATCAAACATGGCAAAACTTTATCCTGAAGAAATTGTGACTAATCCAAGTGGAGTAGAAGAAATGGCAAGAAAAGAAATGGAACTTAGAAGACAAGAACATGAACGAGAAAATCACGAAAGAATGAAAACACCAACTGAAAAGAAAAGAATAAAGAAAGAAAAGAATGATAAAATCATTGAAAGTCAAGGAATTTTTATGGAAGGATTTAAATTTACTTCGATTGATGAAAAAATGATTAACAAATGTCGTCATAAAAGCAAAGAACTTTTTATGAAAGGAGTTATTTTATACACTGATTTTAAAGGATTGATTATAGTTGAAGGGACTCAAAAATCAATAATTAAATTCGAGAGAATGATCACTAAAGAAAATCAAAGAATTGGAGAAAACAAGTTTATTAAATTATGGGAAGGAAAACGTCAAAGATTTTCATTTAATTCATTAACAAGTGAAAGATATGTTGAAGAGAAAAGTGTTATTGAAATTTTACAATTAAAACAATTAGAATTTCTATGGAAAATTAGTTGAAATGTTATTAAAATTTTTCTGTTATACAGAATTTCAAAAAATTTAAGAAGGAAGATGAAAAATGATGTTTAAAACACTATTTATAATAAAAGAGTTTTTTAATAATTGATAAGACAAGTGGCAATGATGTGTAAAAAACTCTTTACTTATAAATTCCATAAATACAATGTCAGGAGAGTTTGTATTAAATCAAATTTTTTTGTGTCTATATGTATATGACTGACTTCTTGATAGAAATACAATTGACTTAAAGGAATATAAAAATTCCCCTTTTATGCTTAAATTTAAAGAGTTGAATGAAAATATTGGTAATATTGAAGAAGTTAAAAAGCTAGAAATTGAGATGATGAAACTTTATGATACAAAAACACAATATATTCAAACCCAATGTAGAGGATTGCTTGACAAAACAATACAAACTAGAGATGAGATTAAAAAAGAAAATACCAAATTAAAAACTGCAATTTCTTTTATGAGAGAAAGTGCTGATAGGGAGAAGAAGTATTATCAAGAACAATATCTGAAAAAAGAAAGTGAAGCCAATACTCATAAAAGACGAGTTGAAGAAATTGAAGTTGAAAAGAAGTCACTTGAAGACAATATGAATAAACTAAAAGAAGAGAAACAAAAAGTTGATGATGAAAGAAATTTAGCAATTGATGAAATGATGAAATTAAAAGAAGAGCTAGAAAATGAAAAGTTGAATCTTATTAAATTGAAAGACATCAATGAAACATTAGAAGCACAATTAAAAGTTGAAAAGAAAAAGAAAATAGAAGGAGTTGATGAGTTAAAATATCAAATTGCTAAAAGTCAAAAGACTAAAGAAGAAACAGAAAAAAAGCTTAATAAAGAAATTGAAAAGTTAAAACAGACAAATAGAGAAATAAGTAAGAAGTTAGAAGAAGAAATAAAAAAGAAAGAGGATGCTAAAGAAATGGCAAAAGCAGAATTAACTAGTTCATTTAAGAAATTACTAAATGCAGTTAAAGAAGAAACAGAAAAAAGTTATCAGACTGAAATTAACCAACTAAAAAGAGAAATTGAAGAGTTACAAAAGAAAAAAGGAAATGAGATGAGAAATGAGATTCAACCATTGAAAAGAAAAATTGAAGAAATAGAATTAACAAGAAAGGAAGAGAAAGAAGTTCATAAAAAAGAAATAAAAGATATTGAATTACAAAAAGAAAAAGAAATAAAAGAAATAAAAGATGGATTAACACAAGAGATTAACCAATTAAAAAATGAAAAGGAAAATATTGAATATAAACTTAATATTGAATTAAATGATAAGAAAAGTGAAATAAATAAATTAAAACAGAAAATTACAAGCAATGAAACAAAAGAAAAGAAATTAATAAATCAAATAGAAACTCTTAAAACAGAATTATCCAAAAAAGAACAGGAGATTGTCGAGATGAAAGAAGCAGAAGAAAAACTTAAAACAGAAAATGAAGGTATTAAAGAAGAAAATAAACAATTAATTGAAGTGTCAAAAACTAAGGAAAAAGAACAACAAGAAATTATTAATCAAAAAAATATAGATATTCAAAAAGTTAATGATGAATTAAATCAAATGAAAACAGCCAATACAACAATTACATCTGAACTTTTTAAAGAACAAACTACCAACAAAACACTTCAGAATGAAATAAACACTGCCTTAAAGATTATTGATGAAATGGAAAAAGAAATAGACTCATTTACTATTTGGATTCCTTTAGAAGAAAGCTTTTTAGGTACGGATAAACTTATTCAATTAAATCATGGATTGATAAAGGAAGAGTTACATATTCCTATTCGAAGAGGAATCAAAGACAATGAACAAGTGAAGGTTGGAGAATATACATTTACTATTCGAATCTTCCCACACAAATACTGTTGGAGAGAAGGAGACGACTTATATATCAACATCAAAGATTGCGAATTTTTCACTCATCCAAGTGGAAGAAAGTTTTCTGTTCTTAAAGAAATGCTTAATACAGACAAATATCTTTTAAAAACACGTGAACAGAAACATTGGGGGTATAACGAAAACGGTGACTGTTATCTAGTCAAAGAAAGACCAGATGAAACAATGCCTCTTAGCAACAAAGTTGATGAACTGAAGAAACATTATCTTGAAGGCAAAAACATGTTAATACAAGCTATCAAAAAGACTCAAAAAATACTTTTAGACGATTTCAGCAAACAAAATACCACCCGTGATACTGAGTATAAAACTAAGTTACAAGAAGTCAATGATAAAGAGAAACAAGTAAATGATAAA